ATTTTACTCTGTCTGTGTTTTATTTGCTGAATTATTCATCTGACTGTCATATACGTTTCCAGTTTCTCTTCTGATTAAGGCTAGTTTTCCAATACCCAGTTCGTGATTATGGTGCAGTTTTGAAGTATAAACTAGCCAACTATAGAAATATCCTTCTTGGAAATGTCTTGCTGTTTTACTGTAATTAGTCATCTGCAAGACAGTTGTTTAGCAATAAATTTAGAACTTGTGTGGATGTTTTTATCTGTATATAATATATTTAGAAACTCTCTATATATTTCTCTACATATTCGAAATTTAACTGTAGGTGGGATACATTTCCAGTCTTTTTTTGCAACTACAGTCAGTATTTAACCCTTGCATACAGTATGTTCATGTATGGGTCTAAACATAGGTCTGATCAACAGAATGTCTGCCATGTGCATCGCCCTGGATCAGACAGCCCAAATGGGCTCTTTTACTGGACAACCATCTTTTCCGCTAAAAACCCTGCATGCTGAAACAAAGGGGCCAAGTAACTTACCCAACATATTTATGAGTAGACATTGTCTCCTAATTTTTCCTACCCTATTCTTAATTATTATAATCACAATGGGCCAAACTCTCTAGGTTTACTCTGGATTTATTGTCATTACTTCATTTTTACATCATTGTTAGTGAGAGTCGAATACTTTATTTGCTGTAAGCAGTTTTCATTGTGCTCTCTCACATAATACACAACTCATCATTTTAAAACCATCTCAGAGCATGAACAGTGGTAACTGGGTTTTAAGTTATACTCCAATTAAGTAAAAAACATGAATTAAATATTCAAATGAGTGTTATATCAGCCATGGTTGAAAAATCTACATTTGTGGGTGAGTTGCTGTCCTTTGTTTCTGGACTTCAAGCTGCCAGGGAAAGTTGGGTGCTAGATTTTTGCATTTAGATATCAGATTTAACAGAACAATGTGTTAAAAACTGATGTAGTTTTGCAGCCAATAGGGGACTGTCTAGCTGAGCTCTGTTTGTTCCAACAAAGGGCCTGGAATAAATTATGCTAAATAAATTAGCTCCAGGTTTGCCTGTTTCAGACAGTAGTTTCAGAGTAATCTATCCTACAAGTTTTACTAAGTCTGACCACTTGCACTAAGATGTCACCTCTTTTCAGGGATATAATGTCACAAATGCACCAGTCACGTGCATCTGGATAGCCCTGGCTGTCCCTAGATGGCAGAATACCAGCACATCAGTGGTTTGACTGCTGGCAGCTCTGCTAGCCCATAACCCGTTTCAAATTTGAGTTCCACAGGGAAGATCTAACCGCAGAGCCAAGCACATAGGCCCTGATTCAACAAGGTGCTTTTGCACCCACCCAGTTTTAAGCATGTGAATAGTCCCCATTACTTCATTGGAGCTACTGCGTACGTAAAAAGAGGCTTGTGCTTAAGACCCTTTTCAGCAAAGTACTAAGGGAGGATAATCAAAAACGTAAAAGAACTGAATGCAGATACATTACAGCTTCATGATAAAGCACTTGAAGTCAGGGCCAGCTCCAGGTATTTTACCGCCTCAAGCAAAAAAAAAAAAGGGGGGGGGGACGGAGTGTCGCCGCTGAAGCAAAAAATAATAATAAATAAATAAGGGGCGGCACTCAACCTTTTATTTAAAAAGGGCCGCCCCGAGCACATGCTTGGAACGCTGGTGCCTAGAGCCGGCCCTGCTTGAAGTTAAACCTTATTCTCTTGAAATGTTTTGTCCACCATTTTGGTTCAGTACATCTCGCAGGACTATTGCAGCATAGATAGACGCTTATCAGAAACATCAAATAACTAAAGTAAGCAGAATCTCTATTCATTCTTTCTGATAAAATTCCTCTTTTTTTAAAAAAAGAAGTGCTTATGGATTTGGTCAAATGGAGTATAGGACACTGAGCTACATTAGAGATGTCCCAGCAGGTGTTGGGCATTTTCTGGGGATTAATGACCAGTCAATTGGTCTGAGGTACATTAACCTGAGCTAGTCATTAATCTCCTGGGAAGAGTCCTGTATTGGAGCTGGATTTGTATTAGAGGATGAACTTATGAAAAAACATAACTTAAAAAATCTGGCTAGCCTGCAGTGCATCCTTAATGGGACTTGTTTGGCTCAAACTCACTGAACAGCTGCCTCAAGTGTAAAGTAAACCCCTTGTGCCTGGCCTCTTTCCACAGCCAGAGTTCAGATAAAACAAAGGAAGAAGGATTCCTATAACCAGAAATTTCTACATGGAAAAGTCAGGCTCCATGCAGCCAAAAGGCTAAATTCAGAGCTGGCTGTAAATCAGCAGATGTCAGTGAATTGTCACATTCACGCCTCCTTATACCATTGGTGAATTTGGACTACAACTTAATTATGCTCTTGCCTCCAGGGAAATGACCCTCCCACCCTCTGGTGGAATCCTTATAGGTTTAGCGCAATCCCAGTCCCCCAAGCCATGATTCCTATGCAATCTTTGCAATGAGACTTGATGTTAGATAATTTCTTGCTTTGGAGTATAGTTTTCACTCTCATTCACCAAAATGGACAGGGCCTGTGCATCTTTTTTCACCTCTTAGTCTTTTTTATATATATATACACCTCTACCCCGATATAACGCGACCCGATATAACACGAATTCGGATATAACGTGGTAAAGCAGTGCTCCGGGGGGGGCGGGGCTGCGCACTCCGGCGGATCAAAGCAAGTTCGATATAACGCGGTAAGATTTTGCTCCCGAGGACAGCATTATATCGGGGTAGAGGTGTGTGTGTGTGTGTGTGTGTGTGTGTGTGTGTGTGTGTATATATATATATAGAGAGAGAGAGAGAGAGAGAGAGAGAGAAGGCCAGCATTAATGTCACCATCAGTTACTTCCTGTGTCTTATTATTTGTTGGGCACTAATAATGAACTCAGTAATACACATTTATGGAGTAAACAAGATTTCTCTTTCTCTCTCTTTCTCAGGTATTTACATTCCAATAAGGCAAAGAATAAAAAACAAATCAAACAATCAAATGCTTACTTTGGGGTTTTATTTATCCTGGCAGAGGCCCTGTAGGTTTTTCACCTTCCTCTGCAGCATGGGGCAGGGGTTGCTTGCTGGAGGATTCTCTGCGACTTGAAGTCTTTGAATCATGATTTGGGGACTGCAACAGCTGAGTCAAGGGAGAGAATTATTCCAGGAGTGGGTGGGTCAGCTTTTGTGGCCTGCATCATGCGGGAGGTCAGACTAGATGATCATAATGGTCCCTTCTGACCTTAAAGTCTATGAGTCTATGAATGGGTGATTGTGCTTAGCCTACAGGCGTAGATTCAGATTGAAAGGCGGCAGGGTCCCGGTGTGTTTTGAGGAGAGATTTGAAGGAGGAAAGGGAGGAAGCCGAATGTGTTGGCATAGGAAGGATGTTCCAGGTGAGATCCTCACCCCGGCTCTAGCTTCTTTACACCAGGTAGAAGTACCAGAGTAGTGTAAAGGGCTCAAAACCACCTGGTTTAGGCGGAGGAAGGATTTCCCTGGCAAGACACAGCTTTACAACTGTCCTCTGCAATCTTCCAAGGACCCCCTTGCAAGCCATGGTGTAGGGGATGTGCTTGGGGAGAGGCTGGGGCCAGGAGGGATGTGCTAGGGGTAGGACTACAGCATGCAATACGTGGAGATCCTGGGCAGTGCTGCAGCTTGTCTGAGAGCTAAACTGATGCTAAGTTAACACCGAGAGCCACAGAGCAGCCCAAATGTCGGAGGGCATAAAGGATTAAAGGCACCTTAGTTCCCTCCCCAGGGGCTCTGCATTCTGTGTTTCATCTAAAAGGGTCAGTAGAGAACATTTCCCCCGGTTCTTACACCAAATTAGTTGATCAAGCACCGGAATTGTTTTTTTAGAGTCAACTGAAAAAAAAAAATTCAGAAAAAAAATTGTTAATGAAAAAATTGTCGTCATTTTCCCAGCAGCCCTACTTGTTAATCACTGGTGTTGCATCTGCTCTGGTCATTTTCATAGCTTCTAAGGCCAGAAGAGACCACTGTGGTCATCCAGCCTGAGTGCCTGCATAACAAAGGCCATAGAACTTCCCCAAAATAATGCTCTCGTTCAAACATGAATATCTTTTAGGAAAAAAAAATCCAATCTTGCTGTTCCCAATTCTACACAGGGACTACTATGTGATCTTCCTGAAGTCACTTCAACTTATTCGTGTCTCTGTTTTTCCCTGGATAGTGATAATTACCTTCCTTTGTAAGGTACTTGGTGATATATGGATGGAAAAGAGCTAGGTATTATGTTATGATTATCAAGTGAAATGTGATACAAAGCTTGCTTTTCTTACATGTTGCGCTGAGATGGGCCTATCCAATGCTATTGACCTTTGCCTGGAACCCCCCATTTAGCGTTCCTAGGACGTTTTGGTTTGTGGATTGAGGTAGTTAAGTAAGTCTTAGTTAGTTCACTGAGAACAACATATGGGAAGATATGTTTACATTGTATCAGCAATCATTGTTTTTCTCCTGAAAGCGAGTACAAGCTTCCAATATCCCTTTTTTTAGTTTATAAATAAGTTTGTGATGAATGTACAATTACCTTAAAATGAACATGTATCTCCAGTTACTACACCATGGTATCTGAGATATTACAGTGTAGCCAGTTCACAATATAAGTATATAAAATAGCTGTTAGCCAAGGCATTAATGTGTGGTAATTTGGTAAACGCTGTCATTTTAATAGTGACTGTTTTTATCGGGTATTATAGATAATTTAATTTGTACTTAAATGTTAGCTATGCTAGATGTTGTCCAAAAGCTTACATATTTTTCCAGCTTAGACTACCAAATTAGTTTTATAGAAAAGAGATTACAAAGTTTTGGTGTATACTGGAGAAAAAATCCTCTATGGCAAATGAAGTGACTTCTGCATAAGCTACTCTCTAACTATAGGTCTGGCCTGCCTTCAGAAACTTTGTGTGCGAGGATGCAACAAACACACAGATGTTTTCTTTTTGCTTTCAGATTACATTTGGATTTTCTGAAAAACAGACTTTTTTCCCCATGAATGCAAGAAAAGACTCTCAGGAGAACAGCAGAATGAGATCCTTCAAAGTGCCACATGTCTGCACAGCATTATCCTTAGTAATGCTGTTCCTTTCAGTCACTGGAACTTCAAAGCAAAATATCCCAAGACTTAAACTTTCCTATAAAGGTAAACCCATCAGAAGATTTTCTGTTTCTGGGTTGTTGTGTTTTTTGTTGTTGTTGTTGTTGTTGTTTTTTGGTGTGGTGGTGCGAGCGTTTAGTTTTCTGTTATTAAACAGGAAAATAAACAGTTGTCACAACTGTTCCTAGAAATAGACAACAATAGCATGAAAGACTTATATAGTCTTCTATGGGACAGAAGTATTCAATTACCTTTTTGGGGGTGACGGATAGTAATGGAAACCATAAAGTTTCTCAGATGCATTTTAAAAGGATATAATTTTTAACACTCAGTAAAAACTCCAAAGCATTTGCTAAACTTAGACTTTTTTCTTGAAGCTAAAAATCACTTATGTGACAAACAGTATGCAAATCACCAAGAATTGGATGAATTAATCCCATACGATTGGTAAGAAACTAATCCTCATTCTTTCGGATTCTTTTGTATGGTCTCCATTGAATGTGCATTACTCTGGTAGCCCCTTGATAGTATTTCTTATTGTTTTGGGGCACAATTCCCCGATTTAGGGCCCAGTACCTTGCTCACGTTGAGGTTAGAAGTAAAACTGCAAGTACAACTGTCTGAAAACTGGCTGTGTAAAAAAGGTCATTGTGCAGTTCTATGATTATTGTTTTGCAATGTGCTACCATAACAAGTTTGCTCAGTTTACAAAATGCATTGTTTTTGTTTTTATTTTCCCCCTAATTGTTGCCCTACTTAACTCAACCTGGGATCTGAAAATCTAGAGGTAGTTTTTTCCTCTTACTTGTGCATCTTTAGCACATTAGAAAGATTCTTCAGACTACATACTGAAGTGTTGGCAGTTACACCTGTGCAACCCTTTTGTCTTAAATTCTGCCCTCAGTAAGAATGATAAAGGCTGAATTTAAATAAAGATATATATTTTAATTGTTAGATGATGATGATGATTGTAGTCCAGTTTGTGGGTTTTCTTGTTGCTGTCTCTGCACTGCATCCTACCAGAGTTTGGTGAGATGATTCCATTCAGATATATTGATGCACTTGATCTTGTTTTGCTTAGTTAAAGAAAAGTTTCCCTAGTTAGTTTTAAACCATTTCAGTGCCTGTAATTAAGGGCACTGATTCTGCTCTCACTTACAGAGGCATAGTTATTCTTCAATGTGTAAATAAGTAGAGTGAGGCTAGGGTGACCAGACAGCAAGTGTGAAAAATTGGGATGGGGGGGAGGGGAGGGTAATAGGAGCCTATATAAGAAAAAGACCCAAATATTGGGACTGTCCCTGTAAAATCGGGACATCTGGTCACTTTAAGTGAGGCCCAAGATGCTCTGTAATGACAAGAGGTTGAACAGCCATCCTAAATGAGCAGAATGTGCCTATTGTAAGGTATTACACATACAAGGATTTATTTAATCAGTGAGTACTGTATCCTGTGAAATGCTACTTATTTACAAATTTCAACTCTGCATCTGCTGGATTTGTATGCAGGTATGTGGGTGTGTTTATGTGCATGTGAGATCTTGACGGCTTTTCCATAGTTTCAGGAAATAGTTACAGTTATGTAAGCCAATGAATACAGAAGCTGAAAGATCTGACATTGAGTTATGGATATTAGTAGGAAAAACCTGCAGCTTGTATTCAAACTTTACTTCTAGTTTTGGCTTCTAAACATTTCCCCAGAGTTACTTATTCTACATGGTGATGACACTTATTGTGGGACTGATGACCAAAAATAGTGTATTCTTCTGTACTTCAAAGATAGCTAGCCACCTGCAAAATCCTGATGGACTCAGTTGGCAGGTAGAAGAGTAGGGAAGACAAAAAAAACTTTGAGGTCAGTGTAGGAAAAAATGTGTTTATCGAAATATTTTAAAATAGTGAAAGAGACCTGCTGGGAGTGGTGTTGGAAAATGCTTAGGGTCATTAATAATGACAACGAGTGGATGACTGATATTGAGGCCCTGACCCAAACTTTTATTAGGACCTTCATAAAGCTCTGGATTTGGCTGTAGGGATGGGTTATTATATCTAAACTCAGTGACTTAGCCCTGCAGAAGAAAAGCACAGGGAATACAAATTAACACACACATTCCAATTCAGAGAGCTATGCTGCCACTGATGAGGCCAATAGACAAATAAGGAAATATGAGGAATATTGGATTACTATTGGGCTTGCTCTTTTTGTTTTGTTTTTTTCCCCAAAACTGGAAGAAGAAAAAAGTAAAAGAAAATGTAATATTTTCAAGCTTTTTAATGGTATTAAAACAATGGCAAGGAGGAGAAACGTGTAAAAAAAAAAAAAAAAAAAAAAAAAAAAAATAACTAAGTTCTCTGAGCATTGTATGGATGACAAAGTTTATTAAAAAGAAATAAAAAGTAGAGGAAAAATGCACATCCTGAACACACACTAACGCAAACCTGGATTCTGCTTACCACCAAAGAGAAGTAAATGGTTTGAACCAATTACTTAAGGCTTTATGTGTCTTGAGAGTATTTTTAGAATCTATGAGAAGGTATGTCGAAATGTGTTGTCATCTGTTCATGTGCAAGAACAACCAGGCTGGTCCTAAAGTTCAGAAAGTAACTATCTGTCAACCTCTGTGAAAGGCTTGCAGAGGTGCATCCAAATGTCTCTATTTCCAAAACAGAATTTTGATGCGCCTGTTTTATGCTGACTCTTCACTGAGTGATAATTTGCATTATAGGCAGTGCAGATAGTGATGCCTAAAGTTAAAGTTGCCCGGTACTTCCCATGATTACACGCTGTTTTCAGTTACTTAAAACGTAGCCAAATTTTAGCCCTGCTCGATTTCTCTGTAGCATTCAACACTGTTGACCATGAGCTGCTGCTGCTCTCAGCTGATGCACTAAATGGTTTAAGCTCTTCTTTGAGGGACACAACCAATGAATAATGATGGGAAACTGCACCTCCACCACTAGATCCCTCACTTGTGGAGTCCCACAAGGATCAATGCTTTCTCCTGTCCTTTTCAACATCCACGTGCAACCATGAAACAGTGAAATGGTCAAATAACATGAACTCATGTGGATGACACATAAGACCTCACAACTACCACCAAGATGGGTATAATATCAGCTCATGGATTAAGCACAGCTGGCTGAAGCTGAACCCAAGAAAGACAGAGGTGATGTTGGTGGGCAGAGGACAACATTTTGATGGTTCACCACCCACAATAGGTCAGTTCAGATCATAGTCTAGGAGTGCTCTTGGATTTCTTCTTGACACTGAGCTCTCGCATTGCAACAGCCATAAGTAACACTGTCTGTCATCTCTGGTTGGCTAGGAGATTCCATCACATCCTGGAAGATGATGGCCTGACCTCAAGTTATAAATGCCTTCATCACCTCTTGGCTGGACTACAGCAATGAGATTACCAGGAATGAAGTCTTCAGCACTTAGAAGACTCCCACTAGTACAGAACGCTGGAGCACATCTTTTCAGCCACTCTGGACACCATGAGCACATCAAACCTCTCCTCCACTTTCTGCACTGGCTTCCCAAGGAGTATCAAATCAAGTTCAAGGGTCCGTCCCTTATCTTCAAGGTGCTTCATGGCATGAGCCCAGGATACCTAAAAGACAATATAAAGCTCCAGGATGAAGAGCTTCTCTCTCTGGCACAATGGAACTCACAACAATAAGAATAAAGCTCATCTGTGCAGGAGACAGAACTTTCTCAGGCTGGGAATTTGGCCAGGAAATTTTGCTGGTACTAGGGATGTGTCTTTTGGCAACAGGGTTGTTGACCCATTAATTGAACTGGGATCAGCTCTCCCATTCCAGTCCATATGCTCCCAGTTGGGCCAATTAAGAGAGTGGGGAAACATCTGGATGGGTTGTAGAAGATGAGTCGGGAGTCAGATGGGAGAAGGACAGGAGAGCTGCTAGATAGAGAAGATGGTTCCTGGGAGAAGGCTGAAGGCAAAAAACAACATGTGGTGTTTTCTGGCTGGCATCCCCAAGCCAGAGAGCCAGGGCTGAAGGCAGAAGCGGGAGATGCCTGCTGGCTCTAAGCTGGAGAGCCAGAGCTAAGGGTTAGAGAGAGCTGTAGGAAGGGGAAGAAGAGGAAGGGCTTACTTGCTGGCATCCCCTTGCTGGAGAGTGGAGACCACAGAGAACAGTGAGAGGGCCAGGGGGAGTGAAGGATTCTTCCCTGACAAGGATGCACCCAGCAGACAGGCTGTGGGAGTTCTCACTGGGAAGAGCAGGGTTGCACCCCAGAACGAAAGTCTTGGGTGACTGTCCTGGCAGAGGGATTGTAGCTATAGGACTAACCTGCTTGTGTGTGTGTGTGTGTGTATATATAGATTATATAATATAATCTTTTCTTATAGTTTAAGTATTTGGTTTATTGTAATAGGTTTATAGATTTATATTAAAGTAAGTTTGGCTGTAATGCAAAAGACCTACAGGCCAAAAACATGTATGTTAAGCTAAAGCAAAGTTAGCATATCTATATTGGGCCCTTTTACCCAGAAAGTAAACTTGACCTTTATCTTGTTTATCCTATAACTAAATAGATAAGTACCCACGCCTATGTCTATGACCTTTTATCTAGACCAATAGACAATGGAGAATGGCATAGGGGGGTTTTCAATGTTGTACCCACAAACTTAACAAGTACACCACAAGTGCGTACATACGTGTCATCCATACGCACATACATACTAGCCGGTGGGGTAAGTGTACCCTAACATTTCTGTGGGTGAGGAATGAAATTTGGGCATAAGAGGAAGGATTTCTGGCACTTGCCCTAACCCTAACCCTATCTACCTCGATAGAGTACTCCATTCTCCATTCTCACTTTACTCCATTTCTTACTTCTTTTCACGTACTTCCTCCACTCTCTCTCTCTCTATTCTGTCTATCTATGATGACTACTACTATTAGTAGGCTATACTTGTTCTTCTTAAACTTTCAGTTTCAAAGGACCCAGGCTAAGCTCGGTTTCCCTAAGTTTTTATTCTTTGTTTATTAGGGTTTGATTTTAAGTTTGTTAGTCAA